TATATATATATATATATATATATATATATATATATATATGCTTTCCTATCTCTTTTTACAATATTTTTACAATTCTGCTAATGCAGAATATTTATTCATTTAAACCATTTGTCTGCCACAAATGGCACTGCCTCCAAAACAACCACATGACTCACACTTAAAATACTATTCAAGAGACACATTCCGAAAAGCAACGGAATAAAAGAACAGCGTTCAGAAATATTAATACTGGTGTTGCTTTGGCTTTGTTTTGTTTTGTCCCTTTGAGCCAGCCTTGGACTAGTCTTTCTTGGCAAGATTTCGGAAATGCCTTCTTCTTCCCAGGGCTGAGAGAGAGGGGCTGGCCCAAGGTCACCCAGCTGGCTTGGTGCCTGAGGCCGGAGTACAGCTCGCAGTCTCCCGGTTTCTAGCCTGATCCCTTAACCACGACACCAAAATGGCTCTATCTGTTGAGTAGAGATGAGCAAAACGTTTCAAATTTGATCAGTTTGCCTACCACTATCACTGTGCATTTTCCCTCTCCATCTGGAGAGGGTTTGTGAACAACCTGGTGCCCAGTCCTGGCTATTTCTAAAATCTTCATCTTTGTGAAACTGGAGTAGGTCAGGTTGAAAGAAAAATAGATAGTTTGCTGGTAAGTATATGAGGCTTGGTGCCTCAGACGGGACTAGAACTCACAGGGTCCCGGTTTCTGGCCTGGTGCCTTCACCACTACACCAGACTGGCTCTCTGATATTGTTTTTAACAATTTTAAATGTTCTTGATAAATTACAAAAAGGAAGCTTAGGATCACAGAATCTTAAGAACTGGAAGGTGCCAGAGCCTTTCTGACAGATGACCTTCCAGCCTTTATTTGAAGACCCCTACACAGGAGAACTCACTACATGAGTTCTAATCCCACCTTAGGCACGAAAGCCAGCTAGGTGACTTTGGGTCATTCATTCTCTCTCAGCACAACCCACATCACAGGGTTGTTGTGGGGGGAAATAGGAGGCACGAACATTAGGTATGTACACTGCCTTGAGTGGACCAAAAATAAAGGCAGAATAAAAATCTAATAAATAAATAAATCATGTCACATGTTTATTTAGGATGGGTGGCCATATAGATTTTCTAAATGAATGAATGGATTTTCACTGCAGTATATGCCACCCCCTGTCTGTTGGCTGCTCTTGGGCTATTTTTACCCAGAATTTTAGTGGAATAACACTAAACCCATACGTAGATTCAGGCTGGTTGAACAGATGACAAGCATACAATAGGATTCAAGTTTACAGTGGGAGGGAGATTTGCATGGGGCATACAATGGAATTTGGTGACACTGTGACCTGGCAGTGAAAAAGTTGTCTCTCCCGACTTTCTCTTGCCACACTGATCCCTAGGAGTCAGATCATTCTGACTCCCGTTGGCCACTTTAGGAATAGGAGGGGCAGTTTCAAAAGTACCAGGATGATCTGACCCCTAGGGATCACCAGACTGTGGCACAGACTGGATGATCAGTAAAGCATATCAGATTTCAGTCTCAGGAAAACCGCCATGACTTGTTCCCTGCTTCAAGGTAAAAGCACTACATTAACACTAGAACAGCTGGACAGATCCTAATCCCCAACCACATCAGCAACCAGACCCCGGGTGAACTCTGTCAATTTATATCCGTGGCCAAAATTGTGTTGGGAAAAGAGGGAAAATGCAACTTTAAAACTGGAACAGCTAAGGATGACTTTAAGTTCCCTCTGATATTGGCTAGGGATAATATGAAGGCAACATCATGAGGACATAGCACGAAAAAAAGAAGTTGTTGGGGCATATTTGTGCTGTGATTAGGTGCAAATGGGAAAAAGCCCACTCTTCTTTGTCCCAACTAAATGGATGTTAGGGATGGCTGAGATAGGGTTTCCCAAGATGATTTAAATTGATGAGCAGGTTCATACAGAAGATAACAGCTGTTCAAATGCTCTGAGTCTAAATCATTCATGGTCTATAAGGCAATCACCAACAGTATGAATTTTTTCTGGTAACAAACCGGATGCCAGTACAGCTTTCCAAACAGAAGACTGATATGCTCCCTGTGCACTGGATTCGGGACCAGGTGAGTTTTCAAATATTCTTCAAAGCCAGCTTTATGTGCAGAGCACTGAAGTAATCCAGGCGTGCTGTAATTAAAACATCTCTCTCCCTGGCCAGGTCTGGATTCTCAAGAATGAATGTAGTTTGTGTTCACCAGCTTCAGCTCTGCAAAGCACCCCTGGCCACTGCTGAAATCTGAGTATTCAAGGTTAAGATCAGATTCAAAATGACAGGCCTGTGTTGAAGAGGGTTCAGCATTTCCACATACAGGCGGAGCCCTAATTCCTGGGTCACCTCTATTGATGAAGAACATGTTTGTCTTATTAGCATTCAGATTCAGTTTGTTAGCCCATGCCCAATGTTTCCTTCTCCAACCAATGATTAGGGACCCTAACAGCCTCATTGGAATGTGATGGAAAGAAGAGGCGGAGTTCATCCGCATATTGGTGACACAAAACCCCCAGTCCTGGAACAATCTATCATAGCAGTTTCATGTAATTATGAACTATTATGGAGGACAAAATAAAACCTTGGAATTCATAGATCAAGGGCCAATGGTTGAACATGCAACTGCCAGCATCACTTTTTACGAGGGCTTGGTGCCACCATAATACTAAGGAATTCTGGGAGTTGAAGTCCACTCATCTTAAAGTGGCCAAGTTTGGACAACACTGCCCTAGGCCATGAACTGTGGGATCATTCATCAAGGCTGTCTCAGTCCTGAAAGCATCTTAATACTGGATTGTAATTGCTCTAAATGCCTCTGTGAAGCAACCTCTTTGCTTCAGTGTTGTGTACTGTGTTGTGGAGACAATATGATTCACTTCACAGAAGCGGGGGAGGGGAAAATCTAAATCTAAAAAAGAAGCAAAGAGGCCATCCAAATGCCTCAATGAAGTAATTCAGAGGGCCGTAAATTGCTTCAGGCCAGTACTGCAAGAGAAAGATTCTTTCAGCTCTTTCTCCCAAACCTGGCTAAAGTACTTTCAGAGCGGGCAGCTTTGTGATTGTTCACAGTGCACATGGAAGCCTCCCAGCCTGGAAGACCTTTAGTGAGTTGCCTGGAGGAAGCAAGCAGTCCATTCTCTGCAGTAACCTGGACAATGTGGCAGGCTGGCTACCTTCAGCACAGATTGTGAGCAATCTTATAGCTTCTAACACAGCTGCCCATCCTGTAAAGCCTTCAGCTAGCGCTGTAGAAGAATGCCAAGAGAGACTCTGAAGAAACACAGTCACTTTGCTCTTAGAAGCAGGGAGATCACGCCGCTTCACGAAGCAGCTTCAAGGATCTTCAGTGAAGAGAAGCACCCCTCTGAAACTTCAGATAGCCCTACTAATCAATCCATTCCATCCTGAAACAGGTTGAGCTGAGAAGCCATTAAGTGTGCAAGAATTTTGTCTATCAATGAAATATCAGAGAGTGAATGGAATACTCCAGTACAGGACTAAAGGATTTGTTCAAACAGTGGTTTTATCCCAGACTCTAACTTGCAGGAAACGACCTCTTCCACTTGGTGTGTCCACTACTAGCTGCTCCCATTA